CAACAGCAAAGACCGCGAAGACTACGGCGGTGCTGGTGACGAGGGTGATGAGGCTGCGGTCTATAAGGCGGACGAGCCATGGGATTGTAGAAATTGGATTTGTGGTTGGCTGATGTTCCATTAACGGCGGGAGCAGCGGTTGGCGCTGGTCTGGAGGCAGGGAAAACTTTGTCAGACATGATTGGAATCGATTTGGTTGGGATCTGGAAGGAAAGAGGAGAGAATTGCAGAGGATATGGAGGAGGAGGAAGAGAGAAGGGGAGGATGGAAGTAAAAGAAGAAGGAAGGTGAGGGAGAGGAACTCCCCATCCAAAACAGATGCTTACACCTCACCAAATTTGGAATCTCTCTCTCTCTCTCTCTGTGTGTAAAAAAAAAAAAAAAAAAAAAAAAAAAAATTCACTTTTTCTAACTTTCATGCCAAGTTTATTTATATTCTTTTGTTTTTTTTTTTTAAAAGAAAAACACGTGACGGTGACGAAGTTAATTATGAGATTAAGTGTTTAAAAAACATATTAATTACTCTTTAAACATAATTAGTATATATTTAAATTATATTTAATAAAATAAAAATAAATTAATTGTTGCCCCACACCCACTCCCACTCCCTGTTAATTAATTAATTAATTTTCCAAAATTAGGAGGGTAATTATATGCTGGCTGGAGATCTACCATAAAAGAACCCACCGACGATCCTCACAGCTGTTTAGGCTAATTTTTCTTTAAATACTAACAAAATTTTTCTAAGTAATTAACTAACTGCACTGAAATCATGGGTTTGGAATTTGGGATTTGGATTTTGACGGAGTTGTGTATTATAAAATTATACCAAGTAAGAAATGTTCGAACATTTTTGGGGTTTAAAATTAGAAATTGGTTTGGGCTGAGTTTGACTTTTAAAGGTAGAAGAGGGTTGGGCCAATTTGGGATGGTTCTCACAAGTGTATTTTCATGACTTGTGACTTCTATCGTTTTTATGTGTTGGGAAAATATGGGATTAAACATCAATATTCTTAATATTTAATGTGTGTGTGTGTGTGTGTGTGTTATTTTGGAAGATCATAGATTATTGGGCAATAAAAAAGACTGAAAGTTGTTGAGCAATATGTGAGTAAATATGTAAATACCCTTAATTAATTCATTTTAATATAATTAAAATTAATATATAAATATATTTTTATTTTAGTTTTTTTTTTGAATTTTATTTTAATGAAAAAATAAAGAAAATTACTTGGATGATGAAATTGAAAACAATTTTGAAAAAAATGGATGAAAATTTGGGTTATGAGAGTGTTTTTGAAAAAAAAATAAAAAAATAGGGGTCAAAATGTAATTTAAATAAATTGTGCCACGTATGACGCACAGTCAGTAGTCCCGACGAACTGAAGCGCGCCGCATGGCAAAGGATGCTGATGCAGTATTACGCGGGAGGTCGCGCTGGCGATCCACGTGTCTGCGATCGGACGGTCCAGATTCGTTCCCGCGCACACGGACGGTCCAGATTCACTTCATATTTAAACGCGATCGGACGGCTCAGATTAAAAGGAGACGGATATAAATAACCATCTTCATACCAAACCCTAACCCTAGCCTCCTTACCCTCTCCCACTGCCACACATTGAGCCACCCCTGCAACGAGAGGATCCCGAGCCAAAATGTAATTTAAAGAAATTGTTCATCGATGATATCTTAGTTTATTAAAAAAAAAAAGAGGAACACACTCACCATCTAACTCAGATTTTGTAGGTTTTCAGAGAAAAGAAGTTGCATGCAAAGTTGAGTAAGTGTGAGTTTTAGTTTAAGCAGACTACCTTCGTAAGACACATTATGTTAAAGGATTGAGTGTCAGTGAACCTCGAAAAAGTTGAAGCCGTGCTTGGCTGAGAAAAATTGATATCGATCAAGGAAATCTGTAATTTCCTAGGGATGACAGGTTATTACTGCAGGTTTGTGGAAGGATTTTCTAGCCTAACCGCTCCTCTAACTCACCTCACAAAGAAGAACATCAAATTTGAATAGAACGAGAACTGTGAAAGAAGTTTTCCAAAACTAAAGAAACGATTGACTATGGCACCTGTGTTGGCCTTGCTGAGCGGATTATGTGGATATACAGTTTATAGTGATGCTTCCTACCTAGTGCTAGGTTGTGTTTTGATGCAGCATGGGAATGTCATAGCCTATGGATCCAGACAGTTGAAGAGACATGAGAAAAATTACATAACCCATGACTTAGAACTTGCCACAATTATCCACGTCTTGAAGACTTGGCACCATTATTTGTATGGGGAGACTTTTCAAATCTATACCGATCATAAGAGCTTGAAACACATATTCATTCAAAAGGATCTCAACATTCGTCAAAGAAGGTGGATAAAACTCCTTAAGGACTATGATTGCAATATCTTATATCACCCGGGTAAGGGAAACATGGTAGTCGACGCACTCAGTAGGAAAATCACACTTGATGGTTTTAGAATGCATGGTAATAGGGGCGCACAACAGGTATAACTTCAGGACCTGAAGAGAGTCACATGTTTGGTCCGCCTGACTGTTCAACTTAAGTTGATCCAAAGAATAAAAGAAGCTCAATCCACCGATTCAACCTCACCAGGCTTCAAGAAAGATGCAGAATAGGGAGTTAATTCAGAATTTCGAGTCTCAACCAATGGGTTACTTAGATTTCAGGACATGGTGTGTGTTCTAGGTGACAGTGAGTTGAAAAAAAATATCATGACAGAGGCTCATACCTCAAGGTTTACCATGCATCCTGGAAGCACCAAGATATATCAAAGTATGCGACTCCGATTTTGGTAGAACGGGATGAAAAAAGATGTTACTGACTTTTTTTCTAAGTGTTTAGTATGTCAGCAGGTTAAGACAGAGTATCAACACCCAGGTAAGCTACTACAGCCATTACCAATCCCGGAATGAAAGTGAGAACATATCACAATGGATTTCGTGACAGGATTGTCTGTGGCACGCTCAAGACATGATGTCATATGGGTAATTGTTGACCGGCTTACTAAGTCTTTCCACTTCTTGGCCATCAGAATGACCGACCATTTGAACAGGTTAGTAAGAATGTATATCTGGGAGATAGTCAGATTACATGGAGTGTCAGTGATAATAATGTCCGACAAGGACCCCAGGTTTACTTCTCGGTTTTAGTCTAACTTTCAACAAGCCATGGGAACGAACTATCCCTTAGTACTGATTACACCCTCAGATAGATGGATAGTTAGAAAGGACGATCTGCACACTTGAAGATATGTTCCGAGTTTGTGTTCTTGACTTCAGAGGCCATTGGGATGACCATCTACTCCTGAGAGAGTTCGTCTATAATAACACTTACCAAACAAGTATTGGCATGGCTCCGTACGAGGTGTTGTATGGTCGCCCATGCAGATTGCCGATATGTTGGGAAAAAGTGAGTAATAGAAAATTATTCAGCTCAGATCTTGTAGAGGAAACTACAACCAAAATAGTTAAGATCAGAAAGAACATTCAGACGACTCAGAGCAGACAGAAGAGTTATGCGGATACCTGGAGAAGGTATTTGGAATTTGAGAAAGGAGATCTGATGTTTCTTAAGGTCACTCATTTCAAATGAATTAGTAGGTTTGGCAAGATGGAGAAACTAAATCCCCAGTTTATTGCGCCATTTGAAATCTTAGACAGAATTAGCACCGCTGCCTACAGACTGACACTGCCTCCAAAACTATCCAGGGTCCATAATGTATTCCATGTGTCCATGTTACGCAAGTACAACCCGGACCCCTCTCACGTTCTGGCCCACGAGTCCCTTTTGCTCCAGGAGGGTCTGTTCTATAAGTAAGTACCAGTCAGTATTTTGGACCAAAAGAGCAGAGTACTGCACAACCGAAAAATTTCATTTATTGAGATCTTATGGCAGAATCACAAACCAGGAGAGGCCACATGAGAACTAGAATTAGACTTCAGAACCTAATTAAAATTTAAGGGACCAAATTTCTTTTAAGGGGAGAAGAGTTGTAATACTCTTAATTAATTAATTTTAATATAATTAAAATTAATATATAAATATATTTTTATTTTAGTTTTCTTTGGATTTTATTTTAATGAAAAAATGAAGAAAATTAATTGGAGGATGAAATTGAATATAATTTTGAGAAAAAGGGATGAAACTTTAGGTTCTGGGAGTATTTTTGAAAGAAAAATTGAAAAATAGTGGTAAAATTCAATTTAAAGAAATTATGCAACGTAGGACGCTACGATAGCGATCTGCATGCCCGCGATTAGATGGTTCAGATTCGTTCCTGCGTGCACGGACGGTTTAGATCTACTTCCTATTTAAATGTGATCGGACAGCCCTGATTAAAAGGGAACGGATATAAATTTTCTTTCTTCACACCAAACTCTAACCCTAGCTTCCAGACCCCCCTCCCTCAACTAGAGTAGAAGACCCAGCCGTTAGGAAGGAAGTCGACTGCAGTTGCTGCTGCGTCGAAGCTACTTCCGACTGACAAAAAAGGTAAACAAATTTTTCTTTACTTAAAATTTGATTTTAAACACTCCCATAGCCAAATTAGAGTAAAAGGACTAGCGGATTGGCCGAAAACTACGGGCAAAACCTCACAGTGACGCCGCGAAAAATACAAAAAATGCCTCCGATGAGGCCCTTCCCGGCCTCCGTTTGATGCAAATTTTATACCACTGTGATCACCGTTCTTTTCTCTACAGGTTGATCGGAGCCAAACGTCAAAATGCGATTCATGCCGGAGGAGCCACCGCACCCGAGAGCACCACCGCCGGTAAGTTTTGATTTTTTGTAATTTTTGGGCCCACCGAGGGCCCTAGGGTTGTTCTATTGCAGGGATCGAAGCAGGCGTGGGCGAATTCGGTTGAAAACGGAGCCACCGTGCCGGAATTGCGATATTGGCCGAAAGGGGCCCTAGGTCTAATTTGAAATTTTTTTGGGACACGTGCAGGTACCAGTAGTACGTTTCAGTTCCCCGAAAAAAATTCAGGAAAAATTAGGGACAGTCTATAGGCGCACTGTAGAGCCGTATTCAGACCCCGAAACAAGTAAGAACCCCTCATCCTATTTTCTATCACGGTATTAAAGTTCATTAAATGATAAAACGGTATTTCATGAATCAATAGATGTGTGAAATTGTTTAAGGTCGCTAATGGAGCCTGA